AAAAAAAAAAAAGGGGGTTTCCCTTGGGACCCCCCCCCCCGGGAGCCAGGGGGGTTTTTGGAATGTTTTTTTTCCCGGTCTTTTCCCCGAGTTGTGGGATAGACGCCGGGTCAAAGATTAGCAGGTTTTGTGCAGCAGTGAACCCGGGGGGTCGTAGGAGCCCCAAGACCTTGTCAAGTTGGTGTGCCAGCAGTTCCCCCCCCCCCCCCCCCGCTTCCGTCCCGGCTTTGTAGGGATGCGAGGTCAATGGTCAAACGACTACGGCATGCACGACTATGAGTACACCCCCCCCCGCTTCCCATTGAACGTTCCCCGTCTCCCCCACTTTAAGGTCATCGCCGATTCTCTCGCGAGCCAGATGTTTGCAGAGGACGATGACGAGGGTCCCGGCTTAGACGTAGATCGGGAACACTTCCCCCTCCTCCGAGACAGAGCGGCGCTGGCGGCGGTTGGGGACAGCATGCTTTCCGCCCTTTCTTCGGACCGGTTCTCGGGAGAGGTCGGGGGCCGTGATCCTCCTGTGAGTCTTATCAATTATTTCTTTGTTTCTATCCATCTATTTATTTCTTTTTTTGGCAAGATTTTGGTTTGTGTTTGTGTTTCTTCCCTTCTCGAGAACGAAAAAACATCAACATGCAAGCTCATTGTTCACCAGCTCTTTTTTTTTTTTTTTGTCTTGGTGTTGCTGGCTAGTAAACAGCAGTGTTTGTGTATACAGCGGGAGGCTGAGTGTTGTCTAGCTTGAGCCTGAAGTTGTCGCCTGTCATATATTTCCTTGGTAGTGCAGGCTAAAAGCAAGCAGTCTTGCTTTCGTCTACACTAAGGGAGCTGACATGTTTTTTTCCTTGGTAGTGCAGGCTAAAAGCAAGCAGTCTTGCTTTCGTCTACACGAAGGGAGCTGAGTGTTGTCTGGAAGAAGTAGCATGAGCCTGTGGCTGGAGTTGTACGTGAAGAGGAGGTTAAAAACCAGCGATACAGCAGTGAGAGCTTCCAATGTCCACCTTTAGGGCAACCATGCAAGAGAAGAGGGAATGTGCTGTCTGATCGATGTACCATGTTATTGCCGAGGGGGTCTCTTTCGCCTGTCCTCACGCACGGTGTTCTGTGGGAGATACTGCTTATCACGTATGCAGTGCGCTCCCAGAGCGTCATAGTCAACCCCCCCCCAAGCAAAACAAAGCATCAGGCCCTGGAACACCAACACTCCAGGATCACCAGGCTGCACATGCAGTTACTCGCAGACAAAATATATTTACTCTTCCAGCATTCCACGCGCTTCCGTGTGGACTGACTCTCGTTGTTGTTGTCGAATGGTGGGTGGTACTTCCTGGCTTGATTTATTTATTTTAGGTGCCCACAAGGGCGAACAGAGAGTTCAACGCGGTGTGCTACGGTGCGCAGGCCAAGATGCAGGAGCACAGGGATACTTGGAAAGGTGAGGAAGACGGGCGGAAACCGTTCTTTATGACCTGATTTCACACGAAAAGAACCCACGGGGGAGATATATCGCTGTGTGTTTGCTCGGGAAATCGTGGAAATACAGGTAGCTTTCGCTGGCGCTATGGATTCGTTGTGTCACATCAAGAAAAAAAATAAAGAGATGTCTGAGGGCGTGTCCGAGAAACGTTTGGAGGCACCGGAAAGGTTGTAACGCTTCGAGCCAAGAGGGAGGGGCGCGTCGGTACGGTGCCGACTTGTCCTGGCAAACCCGCTGCTCGGTACACATTTTTGGTTTTTGGAAAGCAAGTTGACAATTGCAGGCAAGCAGGAGGTAAGGTAGAGATATAAGAAATGGTCTTACGCTTATCATGCTTTGTTCCTGCATGAAACCCCTTCTTGGGCTCAAAACATGCACCGAAAGGTCTAAATAGGCCGACGCCTAGAACAGAAGGGACGAGACCACAAAATGTCTCAAGTGTTTTGACTGATATTTTGTGTTGCTTCGTTTTTTTCTCAGAAAGAGGTGCGGTAGAACTATTGTAGGCGTTAGCTTCCATCTCTGCGACCACGGGTTCCTGCAGATCGATCTCCAACAATCGAGTTCGTTTCTTCACCCCCCCCCCCCC